ATGAATGTTCATAGTAGCAGTATTCACAATAGAGTAGAAACAAGCCAAATGTTCATCAACTGATGGAGAAAACAAAATTTGATGTATTCGTCAAATGCATTATTTGGCAATGAAAAGAAATGCCATATTGTTACATGCTACAACATGAATAAATCTTTTTTCTTTTTCAATTTTTTAACATTTTTTAAAATTTATTATTGAGAGACAGAGACAGAGCATGATCCTGGGACAGGCAGAGAGAGGGGGAGACCCAAAATCAGATGGAAGTTCCAGGCTTTGAGCTGTCAGCACAGAGCCCAACATAGGGCTAGAACTCACAAACCGCTAGATCATGACCTGAGCTGAAGGCAGATGCTTAACCAACTGAGCCACCCAGGTACCCCCAGTATGGATGAATCTTGAAAACATTATGCTATGTTGAAAGAGGCCAGACACAAAAGGCCACATAATGTATGATTCCATTTATATGGAGTTTTGAGAATAGACAAATCAATAGAAACAAAATAGATTGGGGGCACTGGACTGGCTCACTCAGTTGAGCATGCAACTCTTGAGCTAGGGGTTGTGAGAGCCCCATGTTGAGTGTAGAGATTACTTAAAACCTTAAAAAAGCAATAGATTAGTGGTTGCCAGGGACTGGGGAGAAGGGCAATTGGGACTGACTGCTAACGGGCAAGGGGTTTCTTTTGGGGATGATAAAAAGGTTCTAAAATTATATTGAGGGAGTTGTACAACCATCAGTACGTATAATACAAAATATCAGTATATTTCAACAGTTTTTATTTCTAGATGTTGGAATTAATAGATTTTATTTTCCTTTTTTTGGTATTTTCCAAATTTTCTGCAAAAAACATAAATGTTATTTAAAGCAGTTACTGGGGTGACTTGATGGTTCAGTCAGTTAAGTGTCTGACTTTGGCTCAGGTCATGATCTCGCAGTTCATGAGTTTGAGCCCTGCATCAACCTTGGAGCCTGGAGCCTGCTTCAGATTTTGTGTCTCCCTCTGTGTCTGCCGCTCCCTGAGTCTCACTTTGTCTCTGTCCCTCAAAAATAAACATTAAAATTTTTTTTTTAACAAATAGAGAGTTGTTCAATCATTTTTAATCCGGTGTAATCTCTGGTTAGGGGTTTGTCCTTAAATTGCCGCTGATCTGCAACAAAATACAGAAATTAAAAGTAAATACCTAGAAACTTTTAATAACGATTTTACATTGCTGTAACATCCAAACATACGATCACTCTAATACTTCAGTTTTGCACAAGTCCTCAGTGGATTGTGAGAAAAAATTAAAACCTGCTTCTTTGCCACAGATAGAGAAGCTCTGCCCTAGAAAACTCCTGATGGTTTTTATCAGAAGTGTTTAGATCAAAGGCTATGAGTACAGAGGTTGAAGAAAGCAAATAAAAACTACAACAGATTAAAACAAAATATATAAGGGGTGCCTGAGTGGTTCAGTCGGTTAAGCGTCTGACTTCAGCTCAGGTCATGATATCACGGTTTGTGGGTTTGAGCCCTCCTTCAGGCTCTGTGCTGACAGCTAGCTCAGAGCCTGGAGCCTGTCTTCAGATTCTGTGACTCCCTCTCTCTCTGACCCTCCCTTGCTCACACAGTCTCTCTCTCTCAGAAATAAATAAAACATTAAAAAATTTTTTTAAATAAAATATATAAGAACCCATAACAGTACAAATGATTACAGTAAATTATGTCTTTTGAAAGAAATAGAAGCAAAAACTTCTATTACTGCCTGAACAAAATCAATTGAACAGAAAAACAACTCATGTGTTCCAGTTAGACAGCAGAGTTGGGTTTGGCTTCACCTCCTACAGCAGCATCCCCAGATAGAGACAGTGTTCTCATCTTTTCAAATTCAAGCTTCCAAAATAAAACACAAAGCAAGTCCCCTTTTGCCTCTTGATAATGATTCCCACTTGTTACGGGTGCTGGGTTGTCACAGGGGTGGGACCAATGTAATGTGCAAAAGGCTTGGTCTATGCACACCCTGAGGGAAACTTGCTCTTCTGAGGTGGACTGGAATGTCGTCTTACCTCTCCCCTGAGTTGGAATCACAAGGTCAAAAAGTCTCCCAGGTTGGGGGCCGCCTGGGTTACTTGGGGCGTTTCGGCTCACATCATGATTTCACGATTTATAAATTCAAAACCCAAGTTAGGGTCTGCACTCATGACGTGGAACCTGCTTGCGATTCTCTTTCTCTCTCTCTCTGTCTCTCTCTCCCTCTCTGTCTCTGCCCATTCCTCGCTTGGCTATATTGAATAATGCTGCCATGGAATGGGTGTACAAATATCTGTTCCAGTCCCTGTTTTCACTTTTCTTGTGACTATACCCAGAAATGAAATTGCTGGATAATATGGAACTCTGTATTTAATTTTCTGAGGAAGTGCCATGTTCTTTCCCATGGTGACTGCACCATTTCATATTTCCACCAACAATGCACAAGGGTTCCCACTTCTCCACATTCTTACTAACACTTGTTATTTTCTTTTTCTTTCTTTTTTTTTTTAAGTAATACCTTTATTAATGGGTGTGAAGTGGTTATTTCATTGCAGTTTTGATTTGTTCCTTAATGATTAGTGATGTTGAACATCTTTTTGTATGCTTATTGTCCATTTGCATATCTTCTTTGGAGAAATGTCTATTCAGGTCCTTTGTCCATTTTTGAATTGGGTTGTTTGTTGTTGAGTTGTAGGAGTTCTTTATTTATTGTGAATATTAATCCATTATTAGATATGTGATTTGCAAATATATTCTCATCACTGAGTATGATGTTAGCTGTGGGGTTCCTATATATGAGCTCGATTATGTTTGAGTAGGCTCCTTCTGTTCCTAGTTTAGTGTTTTTCATCATGAAAAGGATGTTAAATTACGTCAGATACCTTTCCTCAATCAATTGAGATGGTCGTGTATTTTTTTTCCCCTTCATTCTGTTAATGTGTATTACATTGATTCTGTTGAACCATCCTTGTATTCCAGGAATAAATTCCACTTTGTTGCAGCATATGGTCCTTTCAATATGCTGCTGAATTCAGTTTGCTAATACTTTATTGAGGATTTCTAATTCAGTGTTCATGAGGGAGATCGGTCTTTAGGTTTCTTTTTTTGTGTTGTCTTTGCCTTTGGAATCAGGATAATGCTGGCCTCACGCAATGAGTTAGGAAGTATAACCTTTTCTTCAGTTGTTTGGAAGAGTTTGAAAGATATTGGCTAGTTCTTCTTTAAATGCTTAATAGAATTCTCTAGTGAAGCCATCTGGTCCAGGGCTTTTCTTTGTTCTAAGGTTTTGATTATCGATTCAGTCTCATTATTATATTCTATTCAGATTTTCTATATCTTCACAATTCTGTTTGGTTGTGTTTCTAGGAATTTTTCCATTTTATCTGGATTATTCAGTTTGTCAGCATATAATTTTCATAATACTCTTAGAATATTTTTAATTTATGTAGAATTGGTAGTAATTTCCCACCATGTATAATTTTTGAGCACACACTCATGTGCAAGGTGCCCTTGATTAGGTTCTGGACTCCATCTTCAAGTATCATGGCATCACAAACTCCTAGCCCAGTGTACTTAAAAATGTGATTTAGGGACCAAAGTTGGATAACCTTCCACTTTCAGAATTATATTATATATATAAACTTAATATTGATATCCAGGTCACATGCAATGAATGAAAACCCTTATGATAGTCTCATCAGCCCTTGTTGCTGAAAGTCTCTGGTCTCAGACTGTATCTGGTATAAAGTCTTGGAGGCGGGAACAACTAGCAGCAGTGCCGTCTGGTCCAGCACTGCTCATGGCACCACACACACCCAAACCCAGTGTAGGGGTGGGGCCCCTTTTTCCTTTCCATTCAGTGTGATATCCACTTGTAGCTGACGCAAGGCACACTAGTCTTAATGATGTAGTTTGATGTGTTTTTACATAAGTCTAGATGTGTGTAACCAATAGTACATCTAAAATATTCCCATTTCCCGGGAAAATCCTTTATGTGTATATGAGACATGGGAAGATCTGGGCTCTTACAGTCTCAGTCTGGCAGCAGTATAGAGTAAGGAGAGTGATATGGGCTCTGAGTCTTTTATCTGTGAGTCTTGATGCAGGAAGCATCAATTCTCACTGCCAGGAATGGCCCAGATATTCTCATGTTCTAGAAATCAGGCTTGGCATGAACCCTCCAACCAGCTCTATTTGTACTCACACACACACCACATACACACATACTACATCTACTGGACAGACACATCCATTCAATGTTTATGGGATTTGCAGATCCTGACTTGGTGGAGTATCCAGTGATAAAAAAGCCATAGTCCTTGCCCTTCTGAAGGAAAGCCAGTGTTGATACAGCCCAGAGATCCCCAAGGGCTCATTTTTCTGACTTTTTTAGATGTGGTTGGCAGCATCTGCCATATTCCTTTGTACCTTCCTTTGCTTGTCAGAAAACCCTAGCTCTTCTCTGTTGTGGGCATCACTCTCACCTGATATGAGTTTGGGGGCAGGGTCATCATGACTCTGATCATCTTACTGTGCTCCCGCTTCCTCAGCCATGGCTCCTAGAGCTGCCAGTTTGCTTGTTTGTCCAGAAAGTAGGTCCAGGGATGTGAGATTAGAAAGATACAGGCTATTTAGCCTGGAGAGCACCCATTAGGACATAAGTTGATTACTCTAGAAAGTGATTTTATAAGAAGGAAGTGGGACTGATTGTTCATTGTCTGCGAAAGAAGCGTAAGAGAAACAGGCTCAGGTTAACAAAGGAAAACTGGTGTTCAGAGAGCAGGAAGAAAACCTTTGTCCAAAGCGTGGCCAGGGTTGTGCCACATGGCCTCCACCCCAGTCCTCTGAGAGGAGAGGACAGACTGCAGCCCAGAGGAGAGTTTCTTAATTATCCTGACTGGGTAATGGGCAGGGTTGGGCTGGCACTCTGCTCCTGCTAACCAAACGGTTCCGTGATTCTGTGATGTCACTGAAGAGAGAAGAATGGGCAGCTGGACTTGGCTCCAGCTGCTCCAATTCCTCTCCTCCGGATTCTTGATATTTTTGGGGTGAGAGGAGGTGAGCTGAGTGATCCCACGTGTCCCAGCTCAGTCTCCCCTCCAACCACCTGAGCCCCCACCACATTTATGGAGAGAAATTAGCCAGTGTGAGTCAACTTCATCGAAACAAGCAGAGCATCTTTTATGGACGGGATCAAAAGAACAACAATGAAAATAGCCTTGTGTTCTTCTGTTTCTAGAAAACGTAAAGAACAAGAGAACTGCATTCAAACTAAGCTGGAAAAGAGTATTTGCACGATCTGTGACTGTGAGAGTAGATGAGTCTTCTGGCTATTCCTCTGACCTTTGAAATCACCGAAATCACTTTCTTCATCCTCCTCCTAATTTGCTTCATTTGCATCCTCCTTTTATTGGTGGTTTTTTTATATAAATGGTATAAATCCATGTTGATAAATTGGGATCAGATTTCAAGTCACGCTAGCAAATGTATCTAGAAATAATCTAAATCAATTTATGATAAAGCCAGTAACGCTATAGCTATCTACTTTGTCCATTTTGGAATTTTAAAAATTCTAATTTCCTGTTTAAAAGTGATGTTCAGGCCAAGCATTCAATTCAATTTGAGACCATTCTCCTTTTTCTGAAGTTGTTTTTGCCTATTTGTTTTCAGTTTCCAAAGCAAGAAAGATGAACAGGCAGAAAAACGCCCTTGTACAGATGGTAATGGAGGTGAGGATTGTTTAGCTGCTGATGTGGAGGCAAACATTCCAGGAGACCAAGAAAAGTAAGTCTGTGTCACAGAAGGTGTTAGAAAGCTGTAGTGGGGTGTGGTAAGGGTGGGCTGACATGCATGCATTTTTAAAAATCCTGCTGATTCATTATCTAGGACTCTCCTGACACACAATGTGGACTCGAACACACCCTTGAGGCCTGGCATTCTTGTCCAGAGACGGAGTAAAGAAGCACTGGTCACACCCTTAGAAGAGAAAGAAGACATGGAAGAAGAGGAGAAGGACAAAGTAAAAGAGAAGCAAGAGCCTAAGAATGCTGAAGGAAATGCTCAAGAGGTGACAGGTTTTTCTACCCTCAAGGGGCTGTTTAGAATTTGTTTAATTGAAAAGGTGGTAAGGGACTTGGCTAGGACCAATGACGTGGCCTTGCGTGCAACTTAAGTTTTTACCTGAAAGGAGCATCATGTCTGCAGTCATCCAAATTATTCTTCGCTCATCAGTCCATGTTATTAAACCAGTCATAGGTGCCAAATCTAGACACTTTCCCATCCTTCACTCTTATATTTGTGTTGTTCCTAATAGTTCCCCTTCCTTGTGCTTTTCTCAGAATCCTAGGATCTTAGAGCTGGAGGAGAGTCCTTGGAGATCATCTAGGGATCCAGCCCTGTCATCTTACAAATGAGAAAATGAGATGAATTGCTCAAGGTCATTCCTCCACCACGGCCAAGCTCAGGACCAGACCCCATGTCCCCGTTTTGGTTCCAGGCTCCTTATACAACAGCACACAAATCCTCCCTGGGCCTTCTCAAGCACCCTGTTGGGGCTCCCTGATAGCAACAGTTCACATCTTCCCTTAACACAAGGCCTAAGCTCAGAGGCAGAACAACCGTGCAGGGGGCTCTTTTGTAACCATAGAAATATGAAAATGAGATCATGATGGATCACTTTCCACTGCTTTCCTGTGTCACTTAGAAACACCTCTTCTGTTTCTCACGAACAATGCTTCTATATTTAATTTGAAATATAAATTAAAAATATAACTTAGATATTTTAAAGAAGGGCTTGTTGCCTTCATAAATCAAGCATTTATACTGTTTGTCCTATTCTTTCACAGGATGATGATTTGCAAAAAACACCTATACCTGTCAACGGAAGTCAATCAGTTGTTGAAAACCACAAAAGACCTTTAAAAGGAGTGACATTTTCTAGGGATGTAATTGTTGTGGACCTTGGGAAGGAATACCCAATACCTCAAAACTACCCTTTAGAACAAAAAGAGAGAAAATGAGCTCAGAAAAGGCTGGGTGAAAGAAGTATAAGCTTAAATGAACAATGAAATAACTGGGGGTACAAGATCATGATGAAACGACAAAGTATGGGGAATTAAGCAGATACAGATAGTATTTAACCTTTGTGCAGAAACAAGTGGGCTACATGCAAAATTCTGTAAGTAAAATACCCAAAGCTTAAATATAGTTTTTTTTAAAACTTGAATCTGAGTTCAAGAAATTGATTGTATTAAGTGTCCTTAAAACACGGTCTACTCAAACACTCTTCTAACATGTGAATAAAGTTATTTGTGTTTGTGCAGATGTATGTTAGGTAAGTCATATTTAAGGGGAATTTTGGAGATAGCATATGTTCTTGATGCTCTCATCATATGCATTTATGCCTAGATGACATTACTATTATCATCATGGAAACTTCGATAACAAGGACTAGGATCTCCTACCACATAATCCCCTGTTGAACTCAGTCCTCAAACCCTTATTGTATGGATAGCTGCTTTGTAAGACTGATAGAAAAATACCCTGCTGTCACCAACAAAATATCCTGTTGTTTCAGGCCAAGTCCTGAGTTTATGCTATTCTTAAAATTTGCTACTATGGAATATGATAGTATGGGCCGTTACATCATCCAAACTGGTGCAGTAAACATTGGGAAATGTGTAAGGGGCCATGAGAGAGATAAGAAGCAGAAGGGAGGGGGGAACTTGTGGGGATGAGCACTGGGTGTTATATGGAAACCAACCTGACAATAAACTATTTGTAAAAAAAAAAAAAAAAAAAAGGCAGAAGGGGCGCACCTGGGTGGCTCATTTGGTTAAGCTTCTGACTGTTGATTTTGGCTCAGGTCATGATTTCGAGATTTGTGGGTCCAAGCCCTGCATCGGACTCAGCACTGACAGTGTAGAGCCTGCTTGGGATTCTCCCTCTCACGCTCTCTCTCTCTCTCTGACCCTTCCCTGCTCACTGCTCACGTGCACTTTCTCTCTGAAAATAAATAAACTTAAAAACAAAGCAGAAGGGGTACCTGGAGGTCTCAGTTGGTTAAGTGTCAGACTTCAATTCAGGTCATGATCTTGCGGTTCCTGAGTTTGAGCCCTGTGTTGGGCTTTGTGCTGACAGCTCAGCAGAGCCTTTGGGCTGCTTCAGATTCTCTCCGTCTCTCTCTTTCAAAAATAAATAAACATTTTTTTTTTAAAGCAGAAGACAGAAGACAGCATTTGATTCAGGGTCTAGCATTTGGTCATGTATATGACACACGCTCAATAAATGTTGAGTGATTGAAAGAGTAAGTGATACATTTAAAATGTGTGATTAATTCTAAATGAAGAGTATTGACAACCTTTGATGTTGAGAGAAGTCCTTGTAGCCTAGGGTTGTTCCATTGTGAGGAGAAGGAACTTAATGAATGGAAGGATTTGATAATACAAGCAGAAGGAAGAGTGTTTTTCAGCTGGGGAAAGGCATAAGCCAAAACGAAGGTGACAGTGTGGGTCAAGTTTGGTGAACTCCAGTTACCTCGGGCTGCAGATTGGCATTTGAGGAGAGTGGAGAGAGAGCAGTGGAGTGTAGCAAGGAGTCAGAGTAAAGTCACTCTTGGGATTCTAGGCTGGAATCCCTCCAGTGGAGAAGGGATAAAAGCAGTATGGACTGCAGGGAAGAGGGAGGGGTGGTCTACAAAAATAGTCATTCAGAGACCATGAGCTCTCTACCAGTACTGAAAAATCTGGATCTGTCACCTGATGATGATATTAAAAATTTTTTAATCGTGGCGAAGTACACATAACAAAATTTACCACCTTAACCATTTTTAAGTGCGTGGTTTAATGGTGTAAAGTACAGGGGACGCCTGGGTAGCTCAGTGGGTTAAGCTTCTGACTTTGGCTCAGGTAATGATCTCACGGTTCACGAGTTTCACCCCCCAGTTGGCTTTCTGCTGTCAGCACAGAGCCTGCTTGGATCCTCTGTCTCCTCTCTCTGCCCCTCTCCGGCTCATGTTCTCTCTTTCTCTCAAAAGTAAATATTTAAAAAAAATAGTAATAATAAAATTTTTAAAAATAGTATAAAGTACATTTCCCTTGGACAACCACCACTACAGAACTCTTTGCATCTTGCAAAACTTGTAATTCTGTACTTATTAAACACTAATTCTTCTTTCCCCTACCCCAGCCCCTTGTAAACACCATTCTACTTTCTGTCTCTATGAATTTGATTAAGTACCTCACATAAGTGGAATCACAGTATATGTAATTATTTTACCCAGCATAATATCCTCAAGATTCATCCATGTGTCAAGAATTTCCCTCCTTTTTAAAAATATTGATAAGTTTAGTTAGCACAGTGTTACATTAGTTTCCGGTGTACATCATAGTGATTCAACAAGTCTACACATTATACTATGCTGCCAACAAGTGCGGCTACTGGCTGTCACCACACAACACTATCACAATACCATTGACTGTATTCCCTATGTTGTACCTTTCATCTCTGTAACTTAATCGTTCTGTAACTAAAAGCCTGGATCTCCCCCTCCCCTTCACCCATTTACCCATCCCCCTCCATCCTCTCTGACAACCATTAGTTAGTTCTCTATATTTATGAGTCTGTTTCTGGCTTTCATTTATTCCTTTGTTTTTTAGATTCCACATTTAAGTGAAATCATGGCATTTGCCTTTCCCTGCCTGACTTATTTCACGTAGCATAATACCTTCTAGGTCCATCCATGTTTTCACAAATGGCCAGATCTCATCTCTTTTATGGCTGAGTAATATTATTGTGTGTATGTGTTTGTGTATAATATACACACACATGTCTCACAACTTCTTTATCCATTCATCTATCTATGCACACTGGGGTTGTTTCCATATCTTGGCTATTATAAATAATGCTGCATTGAACATGGGCATGCCGATACCTTCTCAAATTAGTGTTTTCACTTTCTCTGGTTAAATACCAGGGGAGTTACTGGATTGTATAGTATTTCTATTTTTAATTTTTTGAGGAACCTCCATACTGTATTCCACAATGACTGCACCAATTTACATCCTCACCAAAAGGAACAAGCATTCCTTTTTCTCCACATCCTCACCGACACTTGTTATTTCTTACATTTTGGATCCTAGCCATTCTGACAGGTGTAAGGTGATTTCTCATTTTGGTTTTGATTTGCATTTCCCTAATGATTACTGATATTGAGCATCTTTTCGTGTGTCTGTTGACTGTTATCTTTGGAAAAATGTCTAGGTCCTCTGCCCATTTTTCAAAAGGATTATTTGGTCTTTTTGGTGTTGAGTTATATAAGTTCTTTATATATATATATATATATATAATGTAATACATATATATATATGTATTAACCCCTTATCAGATACATCATTTGCAAATATCTTCTCTCATTCAGTATTTTCTCATTTGTTTTGTTGATGGTTTCCTTCAACTGTGCAAAAGCTTTTTTTGGTGTAGTCCTAATAGTTTATTTTTGCCTTTGCTTCCCTTACCCAAGGAGACAAATCTAGAATAATGTTTCTATGGATGATGTCAGAGAAATTATTGCCTATGTTTTCTTCTATGACTTTTATGTTTTATCTCATACTTAGGTTCTTTAATTAATTTTGAGTTTATTTTTGTGTCTGGTGCAAGAATGTGGTCCAGTTTCATTCTTTGGCATATAGCTATCAGTTTTCCCAACACCATTTATTAAAGAAACTGTCTTTTCCTTACTATATAAAGAATTCCCTTACTTTTTAAGCCTGCATAAAATCCCATTTGTATGTATATACCACATTTTGTTTATCCATTCATCCACTGATGAACACTCAGGTTGCTTCTTGTTTTCTGTGAGTAATGTTGTTATGAATATTTACATTTTTTTATAAGTTTATTTATTTATTTTGAGAGACAGTACGTGTGCATGAGCATGGATGGGGGAGGGGCAGAGAAAGGAGTGGGGAGAGAGAATCCCAACCAGACTCTGTGCTGTCAGCGCAGAGTCCAATGCAAGGCTCCATCCCACAAACCATGAGATCATGACCTGACCCAAAACCAAGAGTTGGACACTTAACCAACTGAGCCAGCCAGGAACCCCTATCTAAAATTTTAATATAAGGCAAGGGTTATGTAGATGATGATTTATTGCTGTGCATTCCCATATGGTGTCATGGTTGCATTGCCCACATCTGTATCTGTGTTTAGAGTACCAAATTACTTTGTCACAAGCTGAAGAGAAAAGATTAGAGGAGGAATTAATATGTAAATCATGCATCTATGTCAAATGAAGACTAATTTCCTGGTGACTGACTATACTATTTATGGTTTTGTAAATGTTCCAATAGAAGAAAATGGTGGGGCATTTGGCCATCAGTGCCCATGGTAGGACAGGCATGTGGAATTTCCAGTAGATCACTGGTGCCACAACTGTGGGGTGAGCGGTAGAACGGTCAAAGACCAAATGTTAATTTGTATTTTACTGGTTTTATGCTTTTGTTTGTATTTGATTTCTAAATCTGTTTTGGCCTTGAGGATGAGAGGTTGATACCTGGTTTCATGTTTCTACAGAAGAATGGAAGGGGGCCCAAGTGTGAGATCTTTCCTCCAGGACTAGGTTATTGAAGAGTAGCAACGAGAAGATGAATGGAGATGGCTCTAGTGACGATTCAGGTTTGAAGGATGAGGATGTAGGATAGTGAAGTGGCGGCACACATGGGGATGATGAAGAGAGTAAAGAATGTCAGTTTCCGGGCACCTGGGTGGCTCAGTCAGTTCAGCGTCCGACTTCGGCTCAGCTCATGATCTCGTGGTTCATGGGTTCGAGCCCCGCGTTGGGCTCTGTGCTGACAGCCAGCTCAGAGCCTGGAGCCTGTTTCAGATTCTATGACTCCCTCTCTCTCCGACCCTCCCCTGCTCACGCTCTTTCTCTCTCTCAGAAATAAATAAAACATAAAAAAAAAAATCAGTTTCTGGTGAGACGTGGGAGGAAAAAGAGGACACCAAGAGGACTTCGGAGTTTCAATACTTGAGGGATGGTTAGAACTAGGACAGCCCACAGAGGGAACTAATTTGAGAAAGTTTAGCTGGGTTGAATCTGTTGATCTGTTGAATTGGAGGTGTTTGCCAGAAATTCAACTGAAGATACTCAGTGATCAGTAAAGTTTTCAGAGCCCATTTCCATCTCCTAAGCTATGGATTCGGTGAAAAGTTGAGCAATTCTTT